GTAGGGAAAAAAAGAAAAAAGACAAAACCAAAGCAGAGCTACAGAGACAGAAATGGAGAAATGCGTTTCTTAAGGTGTGATCTAAGGAAAAGTTACAATAGAAGAGAAGCATTGCTTGTAATATACACCATGCGTGCAACCTGCATGTAAATCATATTGTTCCCTTCCCTCGCCAAGGCATCACCCAAACACTCCATAAATAAATCACTCCCCTCTCCCTCTCTCACACACACTCTCTCCAGCCATAAACTGCTGAATGAGCTCCCTTCACGCCTCCTCCTCTCCTCCTCCTCCCAGGATCCTCAAAGGAGTAGAAAAACCACGTGCACTCTGCATGCAGTCTTTGTGCAAGAAGAGCCCAAAGCGCAGGAGGGGAAGAACTTTCCCATATCCCTCCCCTCCCAAAAGCACAAACTGATCCCTCCCCCCCATATCACCCCTAGGAGTAGGGCTGCCCCCCAAGCCCAATGAGGCAAGCCCACAGCGCATCTGCTGACCGGCGCTCTGGTGCAAGGCGAGCCCAGGCTCCGCTGCTGGCCCCCTCGCCAGCTGTTTACAAGCTGTGCAGAGTGCACGGCGCTGCAGCTGGCTCCGCGGCCACCACTCGCCAGCCCGTTTCCCAGCAGCCGGGCTGGGGCCCCCAGCAGGGACCCCACTAATCAGCAGGGACCCCCTCCCCCCCCGCAGGCCAGGGCATGCGCGAGACCCCTCCCCCGCGCACTCACCTTTCCTCCCCTGCCCTCCCACTCGCGGGGTCAAGCCACTGGAAGACTCTGGACCAGGCCGGTGGCAGCAAAGGGCTCCGCCTCCCGCACCGACGCAGAGGGTTCCGGCTCTGCCTCCGCTGGTAAAATCTATGGTTCACGCTGCACTGGCTCCCGCAATTGAGAGGCGGGAGGGCTCAGAAAAGCTATCGCTGGATACTGAGCGATTCAGCTGCAAAAGGGCGGTGGGGGCAGACCAGGTCTCGCCCCCACTCTAAGTGACTCCCTAGTCCTCCCCCTCCCCACAAAGAGTTTAACTTGCATCTGAGCACTTAAATGAAGCTGGCCACTTTTCCAAAAGTTCCTAGCAGCTGCAGAGCCCACTAGACCTGGTAAGTTTCCAAACAAGGCTTTCTCCCATGCTGCCCCTCATCTTGGGAGGAGCTCCCAGTTGGCATCCCCAAAACCACCGCATTAGCCACGGTCGACTCCCTCCTCCTCCTTGCCATGTTGCGTACGAAGAAACTTGACAGAGGTTAGATCTCTGATGTATTGGAGTCACTGTCTGTGGGCTGACCCATGGTTTCTACCTACAAAAGTTTCAGAGGGGTAGCCAAGTTTCGGAGGGGTAACCGAGTTAGTCTGTAACAAGAAAAACTTAAACAACAATTAGTCTAGTAACACCTTAAAGACTAACAAAACATATAGATGGTATCACGAGCTTTAGTGGGCACAGCCCACTTCTTCAGATGTATGTCTTCTATGTAGTCTTTCAAACTGTTGTCTGAGGGTGCATCTACACTGCAAGGCTTAACTTGAAATAAGCTACACAAATTGAACTATGTCAATTGCCTAGCTTATTTTGAAATAGGGAGTGTCTACACAGCACTTATTTCGAAATAGAGCATTCTTCCTCTGACTTCCCTTATTCCTTGTACAATGAGGGTTACAGGAGTTGAGTAAGAAGTCCTCCAGTTTGACAGTATTTTGACGCTATTTCAAAATAACTGCCTGCTGTGTAGATGCGGACTAAATTATTTCAGAGTAGCGCTAGTTATTTTGAAATAATGTTGCAGTGTAGATGTACCCTTACCTCCTTGGGACACAGACCATCTTTATTTCTAGGTTTGTACAGTACCTAACACTGTGGTTCCTAAACCATGATTTGGATTCCTAGGTTCTATGAGCAGAGCTCGCCGAACCGCGGCGAGCCCTGCTCGCCAGCCGTGCTGTCCAGCGATCTGCGCATGCGCAGATGGTTCTGAGCATGCGCAGATTGCCCGAACCCAGCTCTATGAGCCCTGTCTATGAGAATACAAACAATAATAATTAATAATGAACTCTGTGGAAAATCTGGCCTTCCATGCACTGATCTCTACACAGGCCCAATGTTCAGTAACATCCCATCCCCAAACAGTGGATTTTCTTCTATTTTTATTTGTCTGTGGCGTACATTGCCATCCTGCTAAAAATGCTCCAAATGGCTGGTGGCTGCTACCCCCTTGCTTTAGAAAGATGTCGTTTTGTTGGAGACTCTCTGATTGCAGGCTGCCTGGATTGCTTTCAGACCTCATAGCCACTGCTTGGGTCCCATACAGTGGTGTTGCATGAGGACATTGCAATTCAACCTTTGTACACACATTGAGGATGCCTCAGACACGTATTATTGCATTGTAGCATGACAATGACAAGATACACAACATGCTAATGTCACACTCACCCTGTTTTGTTGCACCATGCCACTATGATATAATTCAAGGGCTTGTCCCAATGGACAATTCTCCAAAATGTGGCAACCGTTACAGCCAAAGGCCCTGATTTTGAAAGGGGGCTCCACACATGTGCAGAGACTCCATTACTCACACAGAACTCATTGCAGAAGCAGGGCTGCAGATGTGGCTCTCTTCCCCACTCCCCCATCTAACAGGGTGTGAAATTAACACGTGCATTGCAAAAATCGATTGTAACAAATCTGTGATCACTTGAGACTTAGCTGTCATTGTGTTGCACACAAATGACCCTTCAGAAAAACATAGCAATAGGAAGATTGAACTCTGATCTTTCTGTTTTTAAAGAAGAAAAAAAAAAGCACTTGGAGGACCTCCATAAACCACCAACCAGTACATTAGAGCTAATAGCACACATCTGTGCAGTTCTAATTCTATCCAGTAAAGTAACAGAAATGTAGCCATGTTAGTCTGGTGTAGCTGAAGCAAAATACAGGACTATGTAGCACTTTAAAGACTAACAAGATGGTTTATTAGATGATGAGCTTTTGTGGGCCAGAGGAAGTGGGTCTGGCCCACGAAAGCTCATCATCTAATAAACCACCTTGTTAGTCTTTAAAGTGCTACATACTCCTGAATTTTTTATCCAGTAAAGGGCAGTGAGCTACAGAGTAAGCATGAATACTTAAGCATGCCCATCGTGCATTCTACCCAAGGAGCTCAAAGCACTTTGCAAAAGTAGATCTATATTATGAAACCATTTTACAGTTAAGGAAACTGAGGCATGTTAGAGAAAAGAAACTGCTCCCCCAGTAAGAAAGATTGGCCAGGCCACTCTTGCTATAGTGGGCTGCAGTACTCCTTGAGAGAAACCGGCCGCACCCTTCCTGCATACCATGAGGTCTTCGCAACACACGTACCACCGTGCGTGTACCTTCTCGCATACTTCAAAGCGCTGCTGGCCTGATCAACTGACCATCCACCTCCCCCAACTCTCGGGCGTAACCAAGGCCTTCGCAACCGAACCGATATCTGTGAAATGTTCCGTGTGCTGTGTAAGTTGGTATGTATGATTTGATTTTTTCTTGTTGTATAAGCTTAGTGTTGTAGTTGTTTTTGGGTAGTACATAAGAGTTTGTAGTTATCTCTGTTATTTTATTACTGTAGCTGGATATTTTAAGATTAGAGACTATTCCCCTTGCCATTCCCATCCCTATATCTCTGACATGTTTTACTAGAAACCATAGAATAAATATAATAAATACTGTAAATTCATTATTAACACGGTCTATTAAAAATCTTAGAATAAATACTATAAATTCACCACTGTCATAAATAAATAATTGTTATTTGATAAAGCTGTCCACCTGGTTCTGTCCTTCCCGCCTTGGGTATTCATCATCAGACCTGTGATTCTCGCGACAAGACACAATAACAGAACTCAGCTCTCCTGATGGCTAGTCCCAGGCTGTCATCTCTATACCACACAGTTCCTCATGCTGTGTTTTGTGATGAAGTTTCTTGATGCCTGTAATTTACCTTCACATTTTGGGGTTCTCCCACAGAGTCAGATTTTTCCTGGGATTTTCAGTGTCACCTGGAAACACCCTAATTTTTAATTGTAGGGAACCGAGGTGACCCAGTATCAAATGCTCTATCTTGACTTTCAGCACTGTGTTGGCAGTGCATTGGCCTGCTCCACCCACCATTCTGTCTCCAGCTGTGTTCATACTTGATGCTTCAGAGAAAGGGCTTGCCTCCCCTCAAGAAAACTTTTGGCCCTTTCTGCATCAGGGGAAAATGCCTTCCTTCATTTCAAGTGTGGCCGAGGAGTTCCCAGATGATCCCTCAATAACAGCTAGCAGCTCAGTCAGATCTCATGGTCACCTGGGTATGAAGTATGGGACTGAGAATTAGAAAACCTGGATTCTAGTCTCAAATGTACCACTGACATGCTGCGTGACCTCTGCTCAGTCCACATTCTGATTAGGGATGTAACTGGGTAACTGGTTAACTCTTAATGGGTGGTGCTTACTGGGTAATGGTCAACCGGTACCCGAGAGCAGCTCCCCGACCAACGCCCATCACGGATGGAGGTCTGCTCCAGCCCTGCACAGAACCAGCCGGCAGAGTCCCCTCACCTGGAGTGGCCAGGCTGGAGCACTGCCCCTCTGCCCCTTCTTTAATCAGTTAAATGGTTAAACATGAATACCAATTAAACAGGATTACATCTTTACTCTGTGGGCTGGACCCTCCCTCCATGAGATGCCTTATTGACTTCTCAGGGATTAGCTGACAAGTAAGGAAATATGCAACATAAATCAGGACGTGAGACAGTGGCCCTGGACCTTTTGGGACTTTGATTTCTTTGTATGTGAAATGGGGGTAATGATACATAGAAAACCCCAAAGACTGGTGAAAATAATGGGCACTAGACAAAAATAGAGCACTAGTAGTGTTGAACATTGGGAGTTCAGGTAAGTCAAGTGGTCCCATTTGAAACCTCGTGCTCCCTCTCTTTTAGAAATTGACACCTCTACATGCATGAGCGAGAAAGAAAGAGAGAGGGGGAATGCATGCCTATGTGTAAAATAGCTACCAAATTTTGGGCCCAGTCCTGTTCCCATTTAAGTCAATGGGAGTTTTGAGATGGATTAGGCTATTTCCTTTCAAAGAATTTGTCTTTAGTGCTGATTTGCTGGTATAGGGGTCTGTCTGTCTTTCTTCTAACTAGATATACTTGTTTTAGAGAGTAAATCCCAAATATAAGGATACAGATTCTATAAAGACAAGGCGGAAGGGAGCTCACATTTTGGCTTCAGCATCTGTTTAAATCAAGATTTTATTATTCCAGGTGGACAGTGAATCTTTGAATACTGGCTTCTACGTTCGTATTGATTTTTGATTGACTGATACAGGTTTAACAATTGCAGCAGCTTTGTGTGTACTGTCTGAGAAGTTAGGCTAATTAGTATAGACAACGGCATTATGTCTCGGAAGCACCTTGAGGGTCTAGCGCAAAGCCAGCAGGCCAGGCATGTCCCCATTGCGATGGTGTGGTGCTGCAGGGAGCTGCATTGCACTGCATGTCACAACCCAGTTCTGATGAAAAAGCTGAACTGCATGAATACTGCTGCGGAAAGTCAATGGCCTCTCCTGAGCATGTGACAATTTAATGCAAAGAAGCCTTATGCTAATGCAACGGTAAGACTGAGAATCTAAAAATGCACCAAGGTCAGAAAATAATTAAGCTACAGTCCTCACACCAATGTTAACAGGGCCAAACTGCAGCGTTGTTATTTTTACTGAGCTGAATTGCAGCAGCACTTAATTTTGGATCCCAGTCCATGCTATTAAATGCACACCTCACTGCACTGCATAGAAGCAATGT